ACCAGTCGGTGCGTCGGGGGGGGGGGGTTGTGACCTGGGAGGGCGCCGCGAGTGCTTGGGGGCGCTGCAGGTGCTTTTGGGGGGGAAGTGTTGTGGCCCGGGGGTGCCACGGGTGCTCGGGAGGCTGGGGGGAGGAGGGTTGGCAGGAACAGGGCAGGTTCTCTACCCGACTCCTGGGAAATCGTGACCTCCAGCTCCTAGCTCCATGTGCTGCCTCCACTCCACCTCAAGCCCCGGTTCTGCAGCTCCCATTGGTGCCTACGGGTGGAGGCAGCACGTGGAGCTAGGAGCTGAGGGAGGGGAGTTCCTTTCGTCCTCCTGGGGAGGCCCCCCCCCAAGGTAATCCAGTTTTCAGTCATCTGCACATTTGGCTTAACATAGAGAGATGGAGTAAGGAAAGAAAGATGAGAGTAAATGCAAGAGAAGGTGTTTATACCCTGAAGGACAACTTCAGTTTATATACCCTGTTTCTGTACCTGTTTTCAAGCCATAAAAGGAGTATCAAATATATTAAGAAAGAAACTGAGCATCACAGCCTGGATTCTAGAATGAATTTGGAAGTAATATTTGAACAATGGCTTAAACGGATGCTGTTTAACTGGATTGCTAGCAATTGAGCAGTTAAAGAGGTTTCCGTACGTTAATTTTACACATTTTTGAGTGTGGTTGGAGCAGCATCTGAAGTGAGATGTACAAAATCAGCATCTCTGGAAACTGGACTCCCCAAGTATGGAAATATAAAACCTGTAGATACCAAAATAAACTAGGTTTTGTTTGTATATTAAAATTTGTCCCCAGCTGTGCAAACACTTACAGATATGCTTAACTTTAAGCACAAGAATAATTCCTTTATAGTCAGTAGGATTACTCACATGCTTAAGATACACACGTAAGTATTTGCAGGATTAGAGCCTTGGATTATATCCAGCAGTGCTGTCTCTACCTGCTGAAGATCTGCTCTGGGCTAAAGGAGGTCATGTGATCTCATGAAAAACTGTAGAAGCTTCAGCAGAGGGTAAATAAATCTACAGCAAACATATTTTAAGGGGTATAGTAAGCCACATATAGAGTGGATATATTAATTTACAAAGAAAAGTGTTGTACGTTAAGTTGAAATATAAACCTCTGATGCACAATAATAGTCATAATATAGTTATAGTTATTGCAATACATCAAACATCCCCTATGATAAAAAGTATAAAGGTTTTTGTTTAAAGCCAGAGAAATCTGAAAGCTCATAGTAGAGAGTAAAACCAAAGTATTATATTATATTTATTAGAATAAGTCTATATTTTTAGTCAGTATAAATACTAAAATTGATTTCTGCAAAGCATTGTTATTCACTCCAGGTTGCAAACATACCCACTACAGGTTAAATCTAATTTCTTCAACAGAGGTCAGTTTAGAGAGCAGTGTATGAAAAAGGTTACACTGCTCATAGGCAGTAACCATTTAAAAACAAACAAACATTGAAGTATTTGTAATGGTTCAGAATAAAAAGTAATTAGTTGCTTGCAAAATATGAAGTTTTAAAATAAGTTGTTGTTCAACAGGCATAAAGACTGAACCATCTTCTTAGAACCCTATCCTGCAGTAAATTCCATCCGGGTAAGGGGGGCTGTCCACATGGAGCTCATTCCAGGGTTGGGTTCTTAATCCTGAAGGTGGTGTTCTCCAAATCATGGCTAAGGTTCTTTAACAGGGAAGCTTGTCTAACTAGAGTCCATGGCTCTGATTCTGTGTTCGCTGAAGTCAGTGGCAAAACCATTGCTTCAGTGCGGCAGGACCAAACCCTACATTCCAGTTATTTTGTCTGTGAACAGAAGACACTAGTCTCTCATACTGTCAGTATGAGTCTTCTTGTGAGCAGTAAAATCAGTATTTTTTTCCCTTTTAGAAGTAGTAAAAAATCAGTCTCAAATAATAATGGACATTGATTGGCTAATCCCATCTATAAAGTGATTGGATTCTCACTGTACTATCAAATAAAACACCAAAATATTATGTTGTTTTTGACATTATGAGATTGACAAAATTACAAAACCAGCCTCAGGACAAACAAAAATAGATCCAGGCCCATTTTCTGCTCTCATTTACACCAGTTTAAATCCAAAGTAATTCTACTGAAGTCAGTGGAGTAACTCTAGATTTAGACTGGTGTAAGTGAGAGCAGAAACTAGCTCTTGATTTTTTCAGAACAACAAACAGTGAAATTATATTTAATGTTTCTTACCAGCATCCTGGACCTCCCCTTCTGCGTGTTGTTTAAAACCCTGGAAGCCCTTACCAGACATGGTTGCTTTTAAAAGCTTTTAAAA